CCACACACCACACACACACACACACACACACACACACACACACACAACACACACACACACACACACACACACCACACACACACACACACATGTACACATACACCATACACATATTCATACCACGTACGCACAATTCGTTACATGAACGCACACACACACCACACCACACACACACACACTCACACTCACACTCACACTCACACACACTCACACACACTCACACTCACACTCACACCACACACACACCACCACACACACACACACACACACACACACACACACACACACACACACACACACACACACAACACACACACACACACACACACACACACACACACACACACACACACCACATATACACACGCACACACATGTACACACACACACGCGTGCACACACATGCTCACGCACGCACGCATGCGCGTGAACACACGCACATATGTGTGTGTGTATGTGTGTAAACATAGTTAGTTTTGCAGGCATTATAGCGTGAAAAGTTGTAAAAGAGCTCGTACATTTTCTACAGCTCGAGAAACCAAATACTTGACGGTGCGGGTATGATGACAGGAGCGGGAAGCGGCGGGGACTCTCGTTTCCGTAGGCCTAAGCGAGATATATGATGCGGGTGTCGTGTCATCGTTACCTGCTTTGTTATTTGGTGATTTTGTTATTCCTTGTTCGGCAGGGATATTTGTTACGGTTTTTGTTTGAGGATTGCACTTACGGTGCGTAGCGAAACCGCCGACGTATGGCAGGCAGGGTGATGGCAAGAGCGGAACGGAGTGGGGGGGAAGGAGATGGATAAAGAGGGAAATTGAAGGAGGAGGGTGAAAGGAGAGGAGTATTGTAAAGAAGAGAGTTGAGCTCTGGAAGAAAGGGAGAGGATAGTGTGTGGAGACGACGATAACAAAAGCGAAAAGGTGTTGGGGGAAACTATGCGAGATTCGGAAAGGAAGGTAACGGAAGGGGAAGAGAGAGAAGAGGATGATAACAAAAGCGAAAAGGAGTAAGGATGAAAGATGAGAAATCAGAGGAATGTAGAGGAGTAAAATTAATAGGAGGTCATGCCAGAAGCGTAAAGGAACAAGGAGGAGGAAAAAGAGGTCGAAAACGGAGGAAGTGGGGAGAGTGGAAAGCGCGGGTGTCGGGTGAGGTGGGGGGGGGGGGTGCGATTTAATGACGATAACAGGGAGATGAAGGTCACGGCGGCATTTCATTAGTGATTTTGTTGTTAAGCAACGTCTGCGTGTCAAGCACCCAGGGAGGAGCGTCGGCGCGGGAAGGCACGAAAGGCGGACGCGGAGAAGAGGGAAACGAGAGTAAAAAAGAGGGGGAAGGGAAAAGCGGATATCAGAGGTAGAGTTGAGGAGATAGAAGGAGAGACGTATAATGGAAGACAGATTTGAAGAAAATGTTGAAAGAAATAAGGGTTAGCCATAAGCAGGGAGACAAACGTAAGTGAAATGAATAGTGGAGAGATAGAAATGCATACGAGAGGATGAATACAGGGACATATTCTACATATATCGCAGGAAAGAAAGAGGAGGCAAAAGAACGGAGAGATGAAAAGGGGAAGCAATGATGATGAAGTAAAAATAAGCAGAGAGGTGGAGTAGGGAAAGAGGAAAAGAAAACAGTAAAAAGAGAGACGGTCTTCGAAGCAGAGGAATAAGGGAGATAAGAGGGACGAGGAAAATGAGAGAGGCGTGTGGAGAAGCACACGGTTTGACAGCCGGACAGGCAGGGCACCCCAGGCAGTCGAGGCTCCGACATGAGAGTCAAAGGGCCGGATGCGAGCCTGCCAGGTCGCCGCGAGGAGCAAGGCGAGAGAGAGAGAGAGAGAAAGAGAGGAATAGAGGATGCAGATAATGATGATGGCGGTATAATGTTACTCGTTAAAAAACAGCCTCGGCTTGCGTGCGCAGTGCCGCCTCGCCCGCGTGTGTGAGACGACGGAATCTTTGGGCGGCGTTCGTTTTGTCAGGGGGGGGGGGGTGGGGGGCTGGATTTTAGGAGAAAGGGTGGGGATGTTGGGAAAAGGGGGGGAGGGTTATCCACTTCTTTTTAGAGGGAGTTAATGAGCCGCAGTTCATATTTGGGTTCTTCTCGAACGCGTAACTCTATCGCGGAGGTTCACGCGTTGGAGAGCCTCGTTCTTGTTGATTACGCATTCGAGTGTGCCCCCCTTCCCCCCCTCCTCTCCCCTCTCCCCGCTTTACCCTTCTTCAGCCTTCTCCGATTTTTATTTGCGCATCGCCGGCACGGCCGCCTCGATCGTCTTTCGCCCAAATACGGAGAGGAACCCCCAAGTGTCTCGGAGAAATGAGATTTGTGAGAGTTTGTGAAGAGGAGAGGTTGCGAGAAGGCCGAGAAAGGGCAGGGATGAGGCCTCGTGTGTTTGTGTGTTTGGCCAGGGGAATGATACTCCCGGATCTGGCTCTCCATTATACTGCTGCTGGTGCCGACGATACCTGTGGGAGGAGGTGCCACTGGACACCCGGTGCCCGTACGCCGTTTGTGGTGCCGGTACTCTGCGGGGACATGCTCCACCCCCCCTCCCTCCCTCCCTCCCTCACACATGCCGACTTACGCACGCAAACACGATCGTCATGTCTCCTCACGAGGGAATGGAGCGGAGGGAGTGCGTGCTTGAGATAGATCAGATGGCGTCACGTTATTTTGGCTGCATTTACGTCAGCAGTGTTGCGAGAAGAGGTTGTCTTGCCTTAGTGTGCTTGCTACGAGTTCGCCGAAAGAGCCCAAGTTTTTTGCTCTTCGTACTATCGTTATCGTCATTATCGACTTTATTATTATTGTTATTATTTCTGATCATCTGGGGGTGGGAGATCCAAAGATGGTCTGGTTTGATCGCGAGGCAAAGCATCTTTGGAACGCGCGACACACAGGTTTATCGTGGAGAACAAACTTTTTGGACTATTTGGGACTAAGGTCTTGGACGTGGTTCAAATGATTGATGTGTGCTGCAGTATGCAATATTCCGCACACTTACATAGATTACGTGAAGCTAAGTCGACTTTTAAAGGTTTTGTCTGATTATAATAATAATCTATGCCTGCACATTCATGCAAAGAGGGTTGAGGCTGTTTTACGTAGTGTAAATAACATTGCAGGACATTCGTATCAGACGAACTTTCTAGGTAATACGCATTTGGTGTGAGAACTTGAATGTAAACAGTTTCAGCTTTCTTCATCGTCACCTTCAGTGTTGATATTATCGTTGTAATTTTTTTTCGTGATCTTGATTATATATAATTTTTCCTTAAGAATTTTTTGTCGTGTATGACAAGGGGCATGTTTCGACCGAGTGGTTATACGAATGTTGACGAATATAATAGGTTTTCCCCAGTAAGAATTTGGAAATGCATTCCTCTGAAGCAAGGTTGATGTGTGTGTGTTTGTATATTCATGAGTTATAAGGCCAGTTAGATTTTGTAAACCTCAAAAAACATTCGAAAATAAGAAAAATAAGACTTTGTTTACTTTAGGTAGCTATACCGAGGATACCTGATAACGTAAGTTGTAATTAGTCTTTAGATGGATTGCCACCACTGAAATGTGGGACCACATACGGGAGGAGGGGTAGAGAGCGAGAGGGCTGGGCCGAGAGAGGAAGACAGAGGACAAACGGAGAGAAAGCTGAAGGTGTGAGGACCCCCAACCTCGCGAGATAAAATCTAAAGACTGTCGCGGTTCTCTCGACGTGGCGCCGCCTGTCGACCCGTGACGACTCGGCGCAAGGACAAAGCGACGGAGGAGCAGAGGGAGCGGCACGAGCTGTTGGAAAGCTTTGAGAAGCATTTTCGTTGATGAGGTCACGTTTTAAATTTTGTGGTATGGTTCCGGCAGATAAAATACTGTTAGTGGTTAAAATGTTTGGGATACATGTAGTTTAGTAATCAGGTACCGTAAGGTATAAAGAGAACTGGCTCATGGGTTTATTTTCAATTGTTTTGTCAGATTGTATTTTTCAGTAAAAAACGTTTTCGCGTTAGAAAGATTAGGTGAAGTTTCGTAATAACTTTTTTTGCATTCAAAATACGGACTTGAAACAAGTGACATCATTGTGCTCATGATGGTTTGTTGCCATGTGAGGCCGAATGGAATTTCAGTATTGTGCACTGGCAGGGTTCGTGATGCTTAGAGGCCAAGGAAAGGAAGGAAGGGGAACCTACGAAATGTATCTGCTTTGTTTGTCCCCCCCCCCCTCTCTCTCTCTCTCTCTCTCTCTCTCTCTCTCTCTCTCTCTCTCTCTCTCTCTCTCTCTCTCTCTCTCTCTCTCTCTCTCTCTCTCTCTCTCTCTCTCTCTCTCTCTCTCTCTCTCTCTCTTTTCTTTTCTTTTCTTTTCTTTTCTTTTCTTTGATAAAACATTTGTTTCAAAATATTTGGTATTGCCATTGGGAAAAAGTATAGATATTAGATTATGATTTAAATTGGGAAGAAATTAAGCATCCTGGGCTGGTAAAGGGATGAATGTGGCCTGAGATTCATTAATGTATATAGTAATTTCTCAATGGAGTTATATTGTAACATTGCTTTTAGAAAGGAGAGTGATCAGAATACCCTAAAATAGAAGATCGAGATCCTACATTTTCAATACTAGATCAACCAGGATGAAGCCAAAATTTATGTTGAAGGTAAACATTTTTTTTTTTACCTTTCTACCTTGATATTAGTAGAAAATGAGAGGAAGACTATTAGAATATGTAACCGCTGATGTTTGGTATTGTTGCATGAAGGATTTATATGATGTGCCATAGTAGTAAGGTGATGCAAAATTAAATAAGAGTATGTAATTGCACATTTAAAAGTGATACTCTTGGTAAAATAAAAATACATAGATGAATAAATTAAATTACAATGGTCATAATGAGCTGTAGTCCTGTAACAGTACTGCAGATGAATAATATCTACATGTACAGTACATACTTCATGAAACTGGGTGTCCTGTATACTCATAACATTACTTTCCTTTGCAGTCTGTCAGTGAGCGAGGGGAGGCATCCAAAGGATCGACCACATCTCTGGGATCGACTATCAATAGTCGTCCTTCATCAAGGGCTCCTTCGCTTGGGCCAGAAAATGGCGACATCGATTACAAGAAGGTGAGCTATGAAGGCGATTAAGGAAACTTTGTTTTGTTGGATTTGAAAGTTAGGTGATAAGTAGACTAGATTGCTGATTTATTAAAATTGGTATTACACTATCAAACCTTTATTTCTATGGAGGGAAGTTTTCCATGTTACACCTACAATATAGATCTAGAACTTTTTTGTTCTGAATTATTAAGATATGATTTTTACTATTCCACCTAATTTCATTTACAAAAGAAAAAATATTTTTATCATTCTTCATAGTTATATGAGGAACAGCTGGAAGAAAACTTCAGAGTTCATGAACGCCTTCGAGACACAGAGTCTGAGCTGCGGCAAACACGAGAAGCAATTGATCTCAACAATAAGAAGGTGGGTCAAGCTGATCTGTTTCATTGCTGCAGTTTCTTGCTCTTTCCCTTTCTGGTTTGTTTTTATCCTATTATAAACTCTTTCTTTCCATTACCTCTTTTCATTCTTTCTCTTAAATTTTCTTTTTTGCGTTGTTAAATTTGTGTTGAAAAATGAATTGAATCGTACTGTGTTTATTACCCTTCCCCATTTCTCTTTCAATGTATATTCTCTCCATATATCCTCTTTTACATGATACTTTTTACACTTGATGAATAGGCATCACACGATGGATATTCAAATGCGTTAAAGGTAAACAGTCTCTTTGTTAGTAATGTTGGGCTTTTTCGGGGAATAGTTTTTAAGCCCTGCCCCAGGATGTGACACATTGGTTTGTGGTTGGCTGTATAGCACTGTCCAATGTGGAGTCAAAATCAATCAGTTCTCAATTATCTGTTTGCTTGCTAAATAAGGCCTTGCAGAAATTATTATATTGCAAGTATGCCATGCCAGATAACTTACATGAAGTCATTAAAATCCAACATTGTTTCATATGAAAATGCATAAAAAATATTAGAGCAAAGGTGTAGAGCAGTAATTGAGTTACTCAGAAATAATTAACATTGCTAAGCATGAAGGAGGGGCAGGGTTTGATTTGATCCCACTGTAGGGTTTTCCAAGAAACATTTCCTCTTACATGAATGTAATACATTTTTATACCTCTTCCCTTTGTCCTTAATGTTCTCTTCTCATCAACCATCTGCCTGCCTCTGCCTTTCTATGTGTGTGTTAGTCCTATATGTTTGAAACTACTGTCTCTGTGGTTCTTTTCAAGCAACTGCTACTGTGGTTCTTTGTAAAGATTCCTGAAAATAAAAGATTTAGATAATGCATATATTTAAAATTGTATTATCTAGGTACCTGTATTTATTTTAATATTGATGTCTATTATTGGAGCAGTCTTTGGATATATGTTAAATTATCTATCTATCTATATATATATATATATATATATATATATATATATATATATATATATATATATATATATATATAATTCATGCATTTATTTAATTATTTATTGATGGATGTAGGTTGCATCATAGCCTGTCTGAATGTCTTACCTTTATTTCATCACTTGTACATGTTATTGAAGCAACCTTTCCTGATTGTATTAAACTAATGTGATTACAGAACAACACACGTCTTGCGATGGCCGAGGCGGACAAACGGGAGAAGCGAGCCCTTGAACGCAAACTCTCCGAGATGGAAGAAGAGTTGAAGGTAAGAATAGCCTTTAGTTGATGAAAGACTTTTTGGTTCAATTTAACACTCGGAAAATTCTTAGCGTAGGTTTATGCTGAGATTAGGGATGTTTTGTTGGTAAGGGGAAAGGGAGATGATGATGGTAAAAGGCATATGATGATTTGTTGCCACTTCATGAGAGAGAGAAAGAAGGGAGAAAGGATGGTGTATCTTATAATCTATATGTGTGAGAATCTGTGTGTGTTGTACAAGTAAGATGTCTACAGTCAAGTCTTTTAAGATTTTTTGATTGATTCTATATAAACTGTTGTGTAAATGCTTTGTTGTATCAAGTTTAAAAACAGAATGCATGAGAAAATATGGATTTAGGCTATGTTTTTAAATTACAAACTCTAGATGATGTTGGTCTCTATGCAGAAGAAGTATCATTATAGATGACAGGAAGTTTGTCAAACTGTGATGGTATAAAAAGAGGAAATAGTTATGTCATCAGTAATTAGGAAGTGTTCATAATTGAATCTGTAGTTTTTGTGCATATATTTCATTTCCATTTTGGTGTATAAGAACATTAAGTTTTCACATGTTTTAAAAGTATTTGAGTTTATATATCTTGGCAAAAACATGTTTAGATATTGTTGGTATTGTCAAATGAGATGACATTGACAAATAACAAGATAGTGTAGCAAGCAGTGTGCTTCATATTTTATCCCTTGCCATTTTAGAGTATATGTAGGTCATTATTATTTTGTATAAGATTCATTTAGTCTTTATATTTGTTTTATTCTATTTTCTACCCTGATTGATTGGAAGTTCCATACATTTTGTTACTTATCTTGCATTATATATTTTATTTTATTTTGTTATATTTCTCACCCTATTAGATTTGTGCTTTTTGCTGCATATTATTGGAATGTGATCACATAGACAGTGTCAGGATTTGGTGATGAGACTTAAGTGCACTTACATTGTGTGCTCTGATAAGGAATCCAAATGCTATTCTTCATAAAATTGGTTATTTCTTGTTGGTATTATTATTATTGTTTTCTCTTTTTTATTGATTATTCTGTATTGATTTCCTCATTAGAGCACAGCCATTTATCATTGCCTGTTGAACCCTTCAGGGATTGGAATTTTTCCTGGTTTTATTATTATTTTTCTCTTCCCCTTTGATTTGATTAGTTTTGTATTCGTTGATCTGGCTAAATGTATTTTGCGATAAAGGTTGTAAAACATCAAGAGATATGAAGAGTGATGTTAGAATTTGAAATCTCTTACCCAATTTATCCCTTTAAGGAATGATTACTTATTACATTTGTTTGTAAAATTGGTCAGTAGTAAACTGAATAACACAGGAACTAAATATATAATTTTTTTTTTGTTATATATCCAACTCAGTGAGAACTCGTAACAATTTTCTTCATATCATATGAATTATTAGTATTGATTATGATCATAAGATATCAGCATCTTTTATTAAAAGACTGCTTATTTGAAACAGAGGAGTCCAGGCAAAAGTGATAGTGGTGTCAAATGATTCATTATTATTATTATTTACTTTTGTTGAAAAATCAATCTTAGGGTCCTCCAAGTTACCTTTAGAATAATGGTACAAATCTGAGATCCTGATGATCTCAATCTAATTTTCCCAACTCAACAATGAGTATAAAGTATAAACCAGAGTAACTACCCAAATTCTGGAAATCAGTTGTGTTTTGTGGATCCATCTAATGGTTGCGGGACATGACCAATTGAGAAGTAAAAGGTTCAAGAGTTTTCTGTTGCATTTGAGCTGTTATATCCCTGAAGGTTCTATCAATAGCTGAGCTTGCAGTCTTGTTTGATTTTGATGCTGAAGCTTCACAAAATTTACCTTTTCTTCTCTCTGCTAAGAAATGCCTTATAAGAACACCCCACCCCACCCAAAAAAAAAGAAAAAAAAATCTGCTTATGCATGTGGGACATCATGTCAACAGCTATCCAAAGGAAGGAGAGTAAGAGGATAACAAAAAAAAAGAACAAAAGTGAAATTAACACGTAAAAATGGTTTTTCGTTTTTTTTTTTTTTTTTTTTAACAAACATAGTGCATGTGCACCCAAGCTCATTTACTAATCATTCTTGACTAGTTCACTATAGTGACTTCCTGTCTGAACTGTAACTTCCTTTCTTACAGCAATTGCAAAAACTTAAGGCCGAAAATGAAAAGTTGAAGGCTGAAAACCGAGCCTTGACTCGGGTGGTGTCCAAATTGACCAATTCAGCCACATCGGGCATGGGTAACTTGGCCACCTTGAGCAAATAGGTAAAAGAACATAAAAAAAAAAGAAATTGGGTAAAAGAGGGTCAGCCTGCTGCTAGTGTGAATGACTAGTGTGGCACCATCTAGCATGACCACACTGCCTGCGCATGATCATCATTGCAGTGTTTGTTTTTTGTGTGTTTACTTTGCTCAGGCCTTGTGACGCCCACACACACATTTTGAATGGCAGCAATAAGAGCAGTTCCCTGATGTGATTATGCTTTTTCTGCTAACTCACAGATCATTATTTGTCATATTGCTCACAATGTTATTTTATGGTACATTTTACCACTGCTAATTCAAGTGTAGTATTCCAGACCATAAATAAACCTTTTTTGCTTTATGGTGTGTGTTTTGATTGATTGAAAATAGTTACTTTTGCCCAACTTTTGTAATGAAATTGTTGTTAATGTTTATATATACCATAGTTTGTTTTCCAAACTTCTTCAAATTCTACAATTAAATTGATGTTGAAGTTAGGTAAATGTATATCTAAAAGGAGGGAAATAATCTTTTCTTTCTGTTTGATGTTCAGTTGTTTTCTGACTTTTCTTGTTGATAAGGCTCTTGAATTGGCATGAATAACCTGTGCAAATAACATCTCTCTTGAGTGTTTCATTACATGCATGTTTTGTATAATAGATTTTTTTCTTTTTTTTTTTTTTTTTTTTTTTGCTTTTCATTTTTCAGTGTTATTTTTATAGATAGTAGTCTGCGTGTTTTTTTTTATTATTATTATTATTACAGATTGGTGTAGAGCTGTGTTTATCTGTCCTATAGGGACTTTTGTTTTATCAATTTTATGGTAAATGATATATTTTTCTATTTAACAAAAACTGATCTCTTCTTAAATAATGCTAGGAAGTAGTCAGTCATGAATAACGTTTCTCTCACATTTTATTTTCACAGTTGCTGGAACAACTGAAGCAGGAGAATCAGCGTTTGAAGGATGAAAATGGGGCACTCATCCGCGTGATCAGCAAGCTGTCAAAGTAGTGAACACTCAGCTGTGAATGTTGCTGCAATGGATGCTGCAGATGATTTGGTCTTCTGATGAGAACCCCTCAAGCTGCAACCCAGTTGTTACATAACTCTAGAGGAACTCTTTGGATGTTCTAAAGCTTTCCTGCAAAACTATGGGTGACTGTTAAGTCTTGCTGGGTGTTCTTCTTGCTATTTAAGAAGTCCTAGTAGCTATTCAATAAGCTGGCTCACTGCCCATGGCATATTCTAGGCTTATCCAGTCACCAGAGTCTAGTGCCCAAGTAAATGTTGTCACTGTGTGTAGGCCCAGTATATATGGTGTAGGTGTTCATACTGTGCCTCGTTAATTGGCTGGTTTTAGTCTCAAAGCCTGATGAAACATTGTTAATCTGAGAATCATGTTCCCTCAAAAACAAAAATAAATAGTAATAATAATAATAATAATAATAATGATAATGCTAATAATAGTAAAGTTATATATTGTTAAGTACTTAAAGTATTGATTGTTATAATGTGTTAGAAATGTTAATGCATTTACAATGCCATTATTAGTTGTTACAGGAATCAAGCACTTTGGAATAATGATGTCCAGATTAAAGAGTTTCACTACATAATAGTTGCTCCTGATGATAGTGATAGACAGGGAGAAGTTAGAGAGTGTATACCTTTTATGCCTAGTGGATGCTGGCTGAGACAAAGTAACTAATGAAGAGTCTCACTGCCAGGCTGAGATGTGAAACTTTATGTAAAGGAGTTCAGCCATTGGAAGGGTTTCACCACGTCAAAACAATTCTTTTTGTAAGTGAATTTGAGTCAGAATAACTGCATTGTGATGGCTCAGGCTCACAGTTCATGTCATAAAGACATTCTTGTTGTCCTTGTAACTTAGGACTGGTGTCCCAGCGGGCTAGACGAGTAAAGTCTGACTTGCATGGAAAGAATCCCAATGACACACTCGGCCAGTGGCTCCACCTTTCCCCAAAGCCAAGTAAAACGGAAATTTAAAGTATATTTGTGTGTTTTGCTCTTGTTGTCTAAGCTTCACATTTTCCACAAACTTTCCTAGTACTTTCATTATTTTTATTTTTACTTTATTTTTTCTTTTGTAATTACAAATACACTTTTAGTATTGTCAGAACGTACCAGTAGCCATTGATTGGCTTAAAAGGATGAACCTTTGCTGTCTGAGACCCAACACATCAATGGCCAAGGCCAGTTCTGCTTTAGCTCTGTGTCCTACAGTCAGTATTTGCTTGTACAGTGCCCATGCTGGATGTGTGGAAGATCTGCTGTACATTTGAGCAGTGATGTGTGATTTGAGAATTGTAACCACTGTTGATAAGTAATTGGTGTATATATTATTAAAACTGGCCTTGTCAGTCACCAAAACTGGAAGCCAGATTGCTCTTTACTTAAACATTTAGCTTATGCATTTTCAAAAGTCTTGGTTACAATCCTCAGGAAATTAACTGAAAAGCAATGCTAAAAGGCACAGAAATTCACTCAGTGCTGGATGTAGATTTGAACTTAAACCAGAAATCTTGTTAATAACCATGTATATTCAAAGGTGTACATAGAAATGTCAAAACCATAGCATAAATACAATCATGATTATACATATTATGTAATGAAACATTGACCTTAATATTTTCTCAAATAATACCAGGTTTGCATTAAGGCTCTGTCAAGTGAAGAGCATTTGTATCTTTTCTTTTTTCCTCCATTATGGTGTTCATGGTAATGTTTTTTGTTTTATCTTTTTTTTTTCCAGAAAAGTTGACAAAAATCTTGATTCTCAGTTCAAATTTTCTTTACCAGGTCATTGACTTCCACTTCAAGAAAAGTCTGGTGAAGTAATTATATAAAAAATATATATATAATCTATTTATTTTTGATTATTTATTCACATTGCTTGAAAATCTCTTCAATCTGCTAAATAAGATGAAGCGTAACTGATTTGAGAACAGTTATGAAATCAATAACAAGGTTGCATAGTGTTTTGCCAACATGGTAATTTTCCTTTATCATATAGAAAAAACACAAATAACACTGTAATCGATTTTCATACTGCTATGTAAATGGTTAATTTCTTCTGTAAGATTTTTCCTGTTTCCTGTTGAAAATTCTAAATGTTAAAACTGCTTTAATTGTGAATAAAGTGTAATAAGGTACATTTTGAAAAATGATTAGATCTTCTCTTACTCAGATGGGTAAAGAAAAAGCCTTCATCTTTTTCACCACTTATTCTTTATTTTTCTTTACTGTGTTAAAACATGATATTATGTAGCGTTTATTGAACAAAGCAATTAACCTCAAGTTGGTCATGATTTGCTGCACATCACGAAAGCAATAAAGCAATAATGCTCTAATAGGATTCTTGTTTTAGAAGGAAATGCATTATATGAATTGGCTGCATCTTTTTCCGATCTTTTGTGACAGGTACACTTTTCTTTAGGTCATATTTATGCTCTCTTATGGTGATTGTCAGTAATAATTGCAGAAAGCAGAAGATTAAGATCTCTGCAAGTGCCTTAACTGAAAGCAGATGTTACCATGTATATATTATTTTTATGATTGATTTGAGTGTTAGTTCATCATTTCCAGTTGAGATATCAATAACATCTGTTAAATTTCTTTGTTTTTTACAATGATAAGGAAAAATGAGCCAAGAAAGCATAAGGAGAAGGTCTAATAAATGTCATCGTAGTCATACAATAATTGCCTGATGAGATTCTGTGCCTTTGTTGATAGATTGAACATGAGCTCATTTGAGTATGTGAAGACTTGCCTTTGTATGCGCTGTTGTAATCTAGAAAGTGTAAAATAGCTTGCTGTAAACATGCCTCTTTTGTAAAGCAAAAAGTGTAAACTGACACAAAGGTTAGTTTGAGATAAAAAAAAAAATAACAAAAAAAAATCAACTATCATATATGTTAATTTTTATAATCACTTAGATTATGCCATGATTATTTATGCATGCTGGTCACTGAAGAATAGAAACATTGGTAGCAGATGAATTTGGTATTATTCTTTGGCCTTGTGCATTGATAATTTTGGTATGATTACCAAGTGAAAATTTTGTAGAAAAGCCTAGTCAAAGACAGATTACCTTTGTAGGCTTAAATATGTATCAAACACAAGTTGCTTCAGATTATTTGAATCTATTGAACTTTCTCCATAAAATTAATTACACTCCATACAGATTCTTAATGATATTTAATAGTGTGTTTTTTCATGACAGTGCATAAATTATATCAAGTGCCTTTCTCTTGTAATTATTGTATGTGAAGGAATAGTGATTTAATTATTCAGTTATTGTTCTGCAGGTCATTATAAACCATTTGTAAGATTATCATGCATTGGTCTTGCCACATTGTATGTAATTATTTGCAATAGATGGTAGTCATTTTTCTGAAATCTTACATAATTATAATAAATATTTAAGAAAATAAAGATATTTTATAGTTATGAAGTGCATTTTTTTCTCTTTATTTTAAGTGTTACTATTGTGTTTTAAATCATAAGATGACCCCCTCCCAATACCTTGCTCAATGTTGTCATGGGGGGGGGCTTAGGAGATGTAGACTGGAGCCCCCTGTAGGGATTGCCCTTGCCTTGGACTTCAGCCCTCGTCTCAACTAATTCTGCTTGGTCTTTTCTTTTCCTTTCCTCTTCTTCATCGCCTCCTGTCCCATTTCTGAGGTGTGAGAGCCGTGCTTAAAGGATGAAAGGCTGGCTTTATGTGAGTTATAAACTGCCTCCGGGAGCCATGTGCACAGTATTCCCTTGGTTAATTGCCTAGCCCTTACCCTTTACAGGGACCCTGAGGGGGCAGACCATTTTTTCCCCCATTTTATTCAGGCTCGCCATGGCCAATAATGAAGATTCTTTACCCTCAATAAGGGCATTAAGGCTTACTCCTTCATTAACTAGCTTATCTGATTCCGATTTTGATGGTTTTCTGACCCCTGCTCGTCCTTTAACCATGGCTCCGACCACTTATACTAATACCATCTCCTTGACCTTTATTGACAACTCTATCCATTCTGAACCACCCACCCAGGTTATTACCCAACCTCCAGAATGCACCCCTTCCTCTCTCCCAACATTCTTTTCTTCATTTCCTATTGCACAGTCTTCTTCAGTGTCTACGCCCTCTTCCCTTAACCCCTAGCCAACGGGTGGCATGTATGTACATGCCAGGGCTGTTGTGGACCGAAAGACAGGTGGCATCGTGTCATGCCCATTCCTGCGCCACATTGCTCGTCAGACAGTTTGTTTTTTTAGTTATTCCCACTATAATTAAACGCAAAATAAAAGCTTTTAGGTGCTAAATGTCACTCGCAAACTACCAATCGAGCCGGGTGCAAACACAGGAAACTGCCGATGCATACCAACATACGCACTTGCCAAACATTTTTATCTGTCGGCATTGGGTTAATACTACTGTTCACCCTTATTGTCCTTCCCCCAACAGAACTACACTCCACACCACCCCATCTTCCTTCCACCCTCATCCGTCTACTTCTGCAAACCTTTTGAGTACTCTCTTTGGCCCAGCCAGGTGGGATCGATTCTTTGTGATTCCTCCCACAGCCCCCTACTCTGAGAATACCTTTCTCTTTCATACAGTGCCTCCAAAAACGAGAAGGCAAAGTTACCTTTTGCAGTGGCTCTGATCGTCCATGCTTAATCACAGTTACATCAGGATCCCAAGCTCATGCACTCTCTACCCTAAGTGACCTTACTGGCAAACCCATTCCTGCCAAACCCCACCTCTCTCTTAATACTTATATTGGAACTGTTTCTATCCCTCCAACTGATTGTATCATATATGACAAGAACTGGTCAGACTGGGAAAATTATCAACTTATCTGCCTTGCTGATTATGATGCAGTAAAAGTACAGTGCTACACTATTCCTCCCAGAGGCCAGCGTAAGTCCCATGTCAATAGTGCCAAGATTAACTTCCGGAGACATGATCTACCCCCATTAGGTTTACATTGGTGAATTGTCCTACCATGTCTGACCTTTCCTCATCAATGTCAGAAATCTTGGCGTTTTGGCCACCCAGCCAAACGCTGTCACTCCACAGCCCACTGCCCTCTACGTAACCAACATGGTCATGACCGTTCAAATTGCCCAGCTCAGTTCCGTACATGTGGTGATTCCCATAACGCATTTTATAGGAGCTGCCGTGCCTATAAGCTCGAGTGTGAGGTAGCAGTTCTCTGATTCAAACTAGGCCTCGCTCTATGTGAGGCTAGACAGGAAGCATGACAACGAGGTTTTTCTCTTTACCTATTCCGAAACAGTTCTTCACTCTGCACCCTCTCCCACATCTCCACAAGAAGATTCTGCGTCTTCCCCATTATCTCTTCCCTCTATCCTGAACCATCCTACCTCTACTCTCCCTGTCCCCCAATCAAATCCCTTTTCCACTCTAAATCCAGATTCTTCAATCTCTACTACTTCGCTGGTACTTACCCTTCCTCACCCTCACTTTACACGTCGCACCAGAAAACCTAATCATTCTACTCCATCTTCGCCTTCCACACCCTCTCCTACACCCTCCTTTTCCACTGCTCCTCAAACATCTATTCCCCCTTCTCCTCCTCACAAGAGATCCTTTGTTTCTCAGACCTCCCTACCCAAATCCCCTCCAGAAACTCTTGAAGATATCTAAAAATTCATAGACATGACCCAAGAAAATGTTCCGTTCCCTCATCCACCCTCCAATCCCTCTATTCCCAGTTCCTCTACATTCAAAGTATTTGCCACTATCCATCCTCTGCCCCCACAAGTTCCCCCTACCCCTCTTTCTCCTACCCTTTCCCAACAAACCCCATCCTCTCCTTCCCCATGTACACCATTCCCTTTTCAATCTCGACCATCCTTACCTTTCCCACCTGTATTTCACATGAATCCCTTGATTATTTCATAACAGCTCTTTTTCCAGTTTTCCTTAA